GAATCTTTTTTCTTTGCACTTGCCTCTGAGGTATGCATAGTGGTGCCATGTATAACTTGTCTCTTTTTGTCATTTTTCTTGTAAGTGGTGATAGGGGGGAACTGTGTCTCTGTTCCTCTTGACGTTCACAGTGTTTAGTGGAATGCTCTGAAAGTTCTAAATCTATCTTTTGACAGCATGCACGGTCTTCAATAAAAGTTTTGATGCTTAAATGGGAGTATGGAGACCTGTGTTCTGTGTTTCTACTGTTTTCAACTCTCTCGGATCCTATGTTCTTTTAAAGAAACTCCTATAAAATCCCCCTTTTTCTCTTTTAATTCCACAGTGACCCTCTTGATCCTTTGTCCGAGGAACTGTCATTAGTAGAAAGCATTGTTACCTATCTGTAAGTCATGCCTCTTACTTTTTAGCAAGTGGAACATAGGACCACAGCAAAAAGGGTGGGATTTTGGCTTAGGAAAAGAGTCTTAATGGCCTTCAGTTACCACTAACCAATTACCAGTGGTCCTGTGTACAGAGCTATGTGTATTTTAGTATCAGTAGTGCTATTCTAGTCCACTGCCATAAAGCATTAAGAACACATCTGAAGCCCCCAAAGTCACATAAATGTCTAAAACAGTATGCTCTTAATTTTTCGTTTACTTTTTTTGGTGTGTAAATATAACTCTAATAATTACTATTGGGTTATTAGTTTTTTAACAGTATTCCTAGTTGCTTCCACTTGATAATCCTTAACTTCCTTCATGGAAAAGATGTAGCCAGTGCTGCTCATGAACTAATCGATGCTTGCAGTTCCCCTGGAAGATGTTAAAGGCCACTGCTGGTGGCCAGGAAGTGTAAGTGCTTCATTTCAAGGTGGCTTGGTTCACCAGCAGCTCCAGTATCAGTATAAGGAAACTATCTTTGTTATACATTCTTTCCCCCTCCCCGCTTAGCACTTAAGGATATTCCCCTTTCATTTCGTGTATACAGAAGTAAGGCCAGAATCCCACAGAGGTCTCTGAGGATTTTGTGCTAGTCCTTCTCTTTTGCTCTCAGCAATTTCAAGTCAGTAGATAGTCTTCATTTTATAAGTGTATATGCCAATTCCACAGGTCTCTAGACAGTGTAAGCTTCATAACGATAAAGCTTGAATTGAATATTAAATTGAGGTCTGGGGAGATGTTTCAGTGGTTAAAAGGCTGCTTGTACAAGTTTGAGAACAGGACTTTGGATCCAGAGAAGACATGCAAGCCATCCTTGTGTTTTTATCTTGATGTGTGGCATGGGCTTGGGGCAGAGACGGGGGAGAATCTCCTGAAGCTCATGGGTAGGTTAGTAGGTGTACATAGTGGTGAAAAAGAGACCCTGCTTCAAATAAGGTGGAGGCTGTCCTGTGTTCACCAAATCCCTGTTGTGGCACACATGTGTCCACATACGCATGTCCTGTGTATAAACATATCACACACACACACACACACACGACAGTCAAGCATCTCATAGAGTTGTCACATGTTACAGCTTTTGTACTTGCTAAGTGGTGCTTTTATGTTTTTCCTTTAGGGTTTGAGCATACTAGGTTTCCTTTAGGTTTTGAGCATTCTCTTCTTATACCTACATCTCTTGAGGTTTCTTTTGCTGTGTTTCCTACCCCTGTTTTATGATTCTGTTTTGATTTATTACATTTTTCTGTGTATAAAATAGTATATATAATAGTATGCTGTATCTGGGTTTATACATACTTATGTCATCTAGGAATAAGGTCAAACTTTGAACAAATTTTTATTTATTTGAACAAAATTTTATTTAAATCACATTGGAAGCCAATATAGTGAGGTAGCTTAAGAAAACAAAACAAACCCAGAACTATGAAAAAGATGGAAAAAGATACCTGCTTTTTACATGAGTGACTGCCCCTTTAAATGAAAGTTGTGAGTACAGGGCATTTATTTATTTCTTTAGGCTTCTTTTGGCAATGTAGCCCAGGCTGGCCTTGATCTTATGGTCCTCTTTCCCATTTCCCAAATGTTGGACTTGTGGTTGTGCGCTAACACATTCAACATATAATTTTAATTTAAAAGGCTGTCCAGTTCTTTGTCTTTAAAGACATATATATGTATTTTTCTTGGATGTTTGCATCTTCTTGATTTTTTTTATCATGTAACTTTCAGTTCTTATTTTATGTCTTCTACTTTGATTTTTTAAAAAAATAAAAACCAAAACACATGTAGTCTCCTGTAGCCCAGGATGCCCTCACATTTGTTATGTATCCTAGGCTAGCTTTAGCCTCCATCTCCCAAGTGTTTGGATTACAGTTGGCACCGACATATTGACTGTTGAGGAATGTTTGTTTACACTGTAAAGGTGTCTCTGCTTAAGGTGATTTCTGATTGGTTTAATAAAGAGCTGCCTGGCCAATAGCTAGGCAGGAGAGAATAGGTAGGACTTCTGGTCAGAGAGAGAGAAACTGGGAAGAGGAATCTATGCTGGGGGATTTCACCAGCAGACTTGGAGCAAGTCATATATGCTGTACTAAGAAGAGGTAACTGAGCCACATGGCAGAATATAGACTAAAAACAAAATATGGTTTAATTAAGTTATAAGAGCAAGTTGTGAAAAAGCCTAAGCTAAGGCCAAACTTTTATAATTAATAATAAGTCTCCAGGTATTATTTGTAGGCTAGCGGTCCAATGATAGTCTATCAAGAAACCTTGTTACAATTGACCTTCTACAGGTTTTAGGTCATAGCTTTATATTTCACTTAAAATTGTCTCTTTTCATTGTTTGCTTAAAAAAAAATCACTTTTATGGTGTTTTCCTGAAACAACTCCTGTTGTTCTTTTTTAATCTTTCTATTGAAGTAAGTAGGTGGCATATTATTCTAAATAGGATTTCAGCTTTATACTTGATTTCTGTGACTTTGCTTTTTAAGAATTAGACCACATGGCATGTTACTCTCAGAACTTGATACATCCCTCTTGTGTCACAGGGTCTTGAAATGACCCCTTTCAGGAGCCAGCTGAGTTGTAATTGGGGTGATACTGTTAGGGTCCTGGAGAAGTCCCACAAAAGACCACCATCCACATATGCAATCAGTAAGAGTGTTTATTATCTTGAGAAAGATTCCAGCATGATGGGGCCGACCATCCTACACAAAGGCAAAATGGTGAAGACCCTGAGAGGGATGTTTGGGCTCCTTTTAAGCACAGCTAAGGGGAGTTCCTAGAGTATCTATCTAGGTCTTTTCAGATATGATTGGCTTAAGCAAGTGGCAATCATATTAATACATTCTAATTGGCTAGGGCTAGTCATGGGCTGGCTTAGGCTATAGCTTTTCCATTTTCCAGCAGGCCTGGACAAATCCCAGTTTTTTTTCTTGTTTGGTTATCACCTTGACCTGCTAATTGTGGCTCTGGCCTGGGCTGGTACCGAAAGTACCAGGTATCCTCATCCTTGCTGTCAGGGGTGTTGGAGATTGATTGTCCTTTGTTCGTGGCCCTTCCTCAGAAACTGCCTGTTCAGTCTCAGGAAACTGAAATTGAGGCCTGATCTCTGACAGAAGACTGAGAGGCCTGTTATGGCATCTGCTCGCTCGGTTGGTCGGTCCTCTCAACACCTCCCATTGTAGAATAGCAAGTAGATGTTTGACCAAAGTCAATGTGTATAAACCCGTTCTTTCGGAAGGTATACATATGGCAGGTAGGTTTTGCACCTTCTTTGAGAACTGTGTACCTTTGGTATTAAATTGTAGTATCCATCTCTTGAATGACATTGTAAACTTTCCAGTCTTAAATCATGTTTTATAGCCCAAGATTTTAAACAGTAGTATACAGTTCAGCATTATTACTTCTTATTCTTAGGTCCAAGTTAGCTATTTTAATTTAGCAGACAGTTGAGTCTGGAACTTGGTGGAGTGGTCAGGCATGCTCATTAACATGACCACCTTCTCTTGGTAGACACAGTTTACTTCTGATTCTTTCAGTTATGTTTTTCTTTTCATTTTGAAGGGACATGTTGGTGAAGGCAGAGACTAGGGAGAACTATTTACATGGACAGATTTTTAGTGGAGATCATCATTATGGTAAAGCAAGGATCATGAAGCTGTTTTAGTAGATAAAAATGAGTACAGTTTTGTTCTGTTCACTAAATGTTGAATTTAACTGTATACCACGTATGTGTTGGATGGCAGCTGTTAGCACATGTTCTTTTCTGAGCGTAAATGAATAGATCTGGTTTCTTGTTTAGAAATGTTTGACCCTTTCTGTCTTTGAAAGCTCTAATGCTCCAATGAATAAGGAAGGAGAAGTGGAAATTGAATACAGCTACCTGAATACAAATTGCTGCCCTGCCCTTGATTCCTAAAACAGATAATTTTCTTTCTAAATACTTGTTTCTTTTGAACTATGCTTTGTGGGAAACTAATTTATTCATTTTCTAAAGTGGCCTTGTTTGTCTAGTAAGGAAATCAGCAAAAGAGGTCTCAAATAAGCTAGCAATGAAATTGAAAAGTGTCTACCATCACCACTGGTGATAAATCAAAGTGATGTTAAAGATGCAGATAATCATTCCAGTACATTCTTCATCGTTACTAGAATTATTTAAGTTCATTAAGCCAGCAAAGTACTTCATTATCTATTATGCTGCATACTAATGGTGAATTTAAAGTTTCAGTGTTTTATAATACAATTTTTTTTCTGAAAGTTATATTTAAATCTTTGTATCATTATGCTGTATGTCTAGATATTGAATTGATAATATGTTTATTGTATCCCAGTTAGGTTTCTGGGTTGTTAGTCTCATAAAACAAAGGACTTTTAGTAAATATTTAAAACTATTGCATACAGGATAACTTTTGTCTATCTTCTAAATAAATAGATTGAGACAATATATAATACATTTTTATTGTACTGTCAGGAATTTAATTACCTTCAAATTAGCATTGTAGAATGTACTCATTAACTAAAATAAAAAAAAGAGCTATATAAATTACTAACTGATTTTTTTCTCTCTTACATTTGCAGCATTTAAATATTAGGACACTGACAGATGATATGGTAAGGCTATCCTCAACTTTTCCTTTGTTATGCATTTTAACTAACCATGTACTGTCCTTGACATGCTATACTAACATCTTTGAAAATGCTAAAACCAGCAAGTGCTAGAAATATGTTTATAGTGCTAAAACTAGGGCTAGAACTGGTAAAATACATTAAATTGTTGCTTGTAGGCTGTGAAAAGGAATAGTCAATATGTTAATATAAAAATTTTGTTTAATTACAAATTGTTAGTCAACTTTGAATCATTTAAATCAGCTCTCATTCTTTGAGGGTGAATTGCATACTTTAAAAAAAGGTAGGAAAAGCAGCTAAAGACAAGGAGGCTTGTCAGGAAAATGTAGCTGCTAATTAAAGTAAGCGAGATTGAAATGCCATGCATGTATTTTAGATATTCTGTTTAAAAATGAGGACCAGGCATACTTTACATTCATGTATTAGGGCTCCTTCTAAGTAATTAATGCCTTGGTTGTGTAGTCAAATAATCCTTGAGAAATACACTTTTGATACACATATACACTAGTTATCTCATGATTAATGATCAAGGAATGACAACAGTACCAGCAACAACAACAACAAAAAAAAAAAAAAAAAAGAAAAAAGAAAAGAAAAAAACCAAACCAAACAAACCAGGGCACACCTGCGAGGAAAAAGCTCAGTACCTCACTGGCCAGTTTTGGTATTCAACAGCTCGGATACCAAACACAAAAAGCATAGTGCTTAGGCATAGTAAGCAGTCAACATGTTCACCACCTTAAGGATCCAGAGTGCTTGCTTTGGCATCTGGATAATAAGGTAGATGTGTAAAAATGAAAGAGACATAGATATTGACATGAATGATTTTAAAAAACTGAAGTAGGGTGTTTGTGGGAGTCTGCTGGAGTCCAGCTCCAACCTGTTCTCACCTTTCGATGGGTTCTTGGGTGGAGGAGAGAGGAATGAGGAAATATTAGGTAGAAAGATAGAGACGATAAGAAAGACAGAGACATAGGATAGCTTTGGGAGGGCCCTGGGTCACTACCTAGCTGCCCAGAGTCTTATTTAAAAGGGCCTTTTATAATATGCCAAGGGGAGAGCAAAAGACCTCCCCCTTGCAAGATCAAAGTACACTGTACAGCCAAGTGTAGACACTTCCAAACACCTGGTAAACACGCCCCTGGCCAAATCGTCCTATTATGCAGCCCTGCTGGGTAAAGCAAAATCAGATTCTCTGACCTTGAGTAAGGTGTCACTAGGAAGCCTCTGTGGGCCACCACTGGTGTTGATATAGTTTCCTGAGTAGTATCTAAGAAAAGCATTTTTTATTAAAAAGAAAAGTATTTATGTGAATTTTTTTTCAGTAACATTGTGCATAGTCAGGAGTCATCAAACACCAGGCAGATATCCCTGAAACCCAGGCTAGCCTGGTCTAACTGTGGACTTCCAGTTCAGTTCCTACCTGAAGTAACATGGTGAGGAATAGAAGAAGACACCTGAAGTTGACCTTTGACCTCCACAATGTGTGCACCCGTGCACATGCACATGGACACAGAGTTAGATTATTTCATCTTCTTGTAAATATCAAAGAATAAGCCTAGATAAACATCGGGGCTGTGCAGTATGCCATTCTGTATGCATTCCATCATTGACTGTCACATCAGATGGAGCATGGCTAGCCTAGTGTTTAGAAAACGACATTGACACGGAGCACTGACGTAGGTTACACAGTTTCTTCTCCCCCTGCCATGGAGATGTTTTTATTTTACAGTTGAGGACACTGAGGCAGAGATAGGTTTAGCAGCTTATCCAAAGAGGCCTGCTATGCTGTAAGTGTCCTTTGGTTCTTGGCCCTTTGGTTTTTGCTTGTCTGTCTTCTTCCTCTGCCCACGCCCCTCTTTTGGTTTTTGTGAGAACTGAACCCAGGATCTAATGCTTACTAGATAAGCATGCTAACCACCAAGGTGCCTACTCAGTCTCCAGAAATGAATGGCTTCTTAAAGTCAGTGCTAAAACCAACTGTAATCTTTATGTTTTATGTTTTGATTTTATGAGAATGTACTGTGCTGTAATAGCTTTATTGAGATACAATTTACATAACATTCATTTCACTCACTAAAAATTTATAATTAAGTGGTTTTTAGAATATTCACAAAAATTGCTCACCACTATAGTCCATTTTAGAACATTTCCAGGATCTTCAAAAGAAAGCTTTGTGCCTGTTAATACTGCCCATTTCCCTTCAGCTCACCCAACTCTGGGTAACCACCAGTCGACTCTATAATTGGTCTATTTTTGATATTTCGAATAATTGGAAGAGTCTTTTGTAATTTTTAGCTAAAAACAAATGACTTTCGTTATTTAGGATAATATTTTCAAGGTTCATTCATAATGTTTTATGTTTAGTTACAAAACATATTAGAATGAAAATTTTATAACATGGTTAAAGAGATGGCTCAGTTGTCAGTTGCCTGCTACATAAGCACGCGGACCCAGGCGACTCCCAGCACCTATGTCAAAAGCTTTGAGTGCTGCCTCAGCAGAGAAAAGCAGATGTGCTTAAAAGTCATTGGCCAGTCAGCCTTGCCTAATTAGTGAGCTCCAGGCTTGGTGATAGACTCTGTCTCGAAAAATAAAGTGGAGAGTATAGAGGCAGACACCTGGAGTTCATTTCTGGCCTTTACCTGGATGCGTATGCGCGCGCATGCGCACGTGTGCGCGCGTGCGCGCGCGCGCGCGCGCGCACACACACACACACACACACACACAAATGTGCATGTATTCTTGTACAGACACACATAACAAGCACAGCCCTCACAGGAACAAGTACACACACTCACACACACACACACACACCCTGATGTTTTAAGGAAGTTTATAATTTTGTGTTGGGCTGCTTTTACATGTCTTTAGATGTGGTCAACTGTAGGTGTTGGACATGACACAGCCTTCCTTAAATCATATGTTCTATATTTTTTAGATTTATTAATACTTTATACACAGTGTATTTTTCTTTCTGATGCTGCCCTTTCATTATATGTCCATCCTTGCACACTCGAATGCCACAGTTACTTCAGTTTAGAAACAGTCATGGAGTGACTTGAATAGGCATTCTAGAAAACATCCTTGGTGTCTGCTGTGTAAATGGGTGAAAACTTTCCTAGTTTTCTCCTTCCTGCTCCCATTCCTTGCTTCTACTTCTGTCCTTATGCCTGGGTTGGCAAGATCAAAATATTTGGTAGCTAAGTTTATCTTTACCACTGTATTATTTCCTGTTCTCACCAGTTTAAACCTTTGGAAGGTAGAGACAGTGAGACAATATGTGTGTCATACATTTTGTAGCACCTGATATGTTTTCTTTTATAGAATAATTGTTTTTTCTTTTCGACAGAGTCTCACTTGGTAGCTTAGGCTGGCCTAGAAGTCACTGATCCCAAACTCATAGCAATCTACCTGCCTTAGCCTCCTGAGCGCTGATAATATTACAGACATGAGCTACCATGGCCTAACTCTGTAGCAAGTGTTAAAATCTGATGTTGTCTTTTTCCTTGTTCTCCCTCTGTGTTCTTGATCCAGCTGGGATCTCCCGCTCCCCTAAGCTCTCTTTCCCCTGACCCTTGCCCTTCATTACCTCCCCTCACGTCCAGTTTGTTCATGTAGATCTCATCCATTTCTCTGTCGTTGGTCAAACCCTGCTCTGGATAAGTGAGACAGTCGATTAGCTTGAACTATTTAGGACGCCCCCAGGCAGTGAAACCAGGACCTGTCCTTAGTACATGAGCTGGCTGTTTGGAACCTAGGGACTATGCTGGGACACTTTGCTTAGCCTTGATACAGGGAGGAGGGGACTGGACCTGCCTCAACTGAATCTACCTGGCCGAGCTGAATCCCCAGGGGAGTCGTTGTCTTGGAGGAGATGGGAATGGGGGCTGAATTGGGAGGAGGGCGGGGGGAATGGAAGGAGGGAGGACAGGGTAATCCATGGCTTATGTGTAAAATTATAAATTAATTATAAAATTAAAAAAAAATAAAAAAAAAATCTGATGTTGAGGACCGCCTCAGTTGTTCTGACGATGGCCTGGCTGGTCACCATTGCCTTTTGTCTTGGCTGTGCACATGGCTGTCTCCTGGCTGTCTAGCTGATCTCTTCACTTGGACGTCCTGATCAGGATTCTCCTTGGCACTCTCCTTTTCTGATTTTTGTTTTGTCTCCTGGGCAGGCCAGGATGGCAGTCCTGAGAAGGATCACTGGGTAGACTGATTGGGCAGCTAGCTCCAGTCATTGTCTTTGAGGTGGAGAGTAAGCATGACTGTCTGGAACAGGAGATTAGATTCTTCTGCATTGGTGATGGGACCAGGGAAAGAGCAGTACTTGGAGTCCTGAGACTTTCCCTCCTGCATCGCTCTGTGGCACTGATAAGCCAAGCATTTGCTCGATCGCTTATTTCTAAATCGGGGCTTGTTATATCTTCTCTCCTTTCTCTGAGGGTTCTGGTGGGCTCCATGTAGTCTGCAGCACATTGAAGTGCTGCGCTCAGCTCTGTCCTTTTAGTCCCTTTTTGTCTCTTTTATAATTGTCTCCTGGTGTGCACTGTGCCACATTTGCTGCTGGGCTGTACAGGGGACGTGCATCACACGATGGTTGAGCTGTGATGAGGGAATGGGTGCCTGGATATTTTGAGGCCTCTTTAAAGGGAGGGAGCCTGGCGTGTTAGAGCTCAGGGAAGCATTGCTGCTGATGCTTTGATACAATGTTGGCAGGATATTTGTAATTACGCTTTGACTTCTCCAAAGCATATATGCTCCATGTGTGCTTTAATGGAGAATTTCTTAATCTGAATAGCTGTTTTAGGGTAGAACATGAGAAAGGTCAGAGGAATAGCGTTTTTCTGTGGTCATACATTTAAGCAACAGTGTCTTAGAAACATTGACACTGGAGCAGCATGAATGTTAGAAACCCATCCCTTTGGCTGGGGAGATGGCTCGGGGGATAAAGTGGGTGCTGTGCAAGCAAGAGGATCCCA